TATATATATATATATAGATATATATATTATTGAAAATGCATCCAGGTGCAGTGGGTAGCACTGCTGCCCTGTAGCAAGAAGGTTCCGGGTTCAATTCCCAGCCTAGAGTCTTTCTGCATGGAGTTTGCATGTTCTCCCTGAACATGCATAGGCTCTCTCTGGGTACTCTGGCTTCCTCTCACAGTCCACAAACATGACTGCTAGGTTAGTTTGCTTCTCTAAATTCTCATTAGGTGTGAGTGTGAATGGTTGTTTGTCCTGTTTGTCTCTGTGTTGCCCTGGGATAGAATGGCTTCCCTGTCCAGGGTTTATCCTGCCTCTCCCCCTTAGACAGCTTGAGATAGGCACCAGCACCTCTCAAGACCCTGCTAGGGAAAAGCTTGATGGAAAAAATGGATGGCTGGATGAAAATGCATCCATTGGTTGTACAGCAGAATAAAATGTGTTTTCACCCATTTAACATTTTTCAAATCTCTTTGTAAAAGCTGTTTATTGGTAAAAGGTGGCCTCTCATCCATCTCTTGAAAAGGAAGGCTTATCATTATTTGAGGCAACCGGTGTACATTTTATACATCCACTGTTAGAAAACTGTATCCTCCAGAACCTGAGTACCTCTTCCACAGAGAACAGGGTTTATCAGATTGAAAAAGCAAGATTTGTTGATGGACTTTTTACTTATTTCCAACAAACAAGTGTAAAACCAATTAATTTAACTTGTTGCTCCAACAATTTAAACATGAGAAGTCGAAGAAAATAACCTGTTGTTCAACTTTGCAGATGGCAATGAGAATAAAATGCTTGGAATCCCTTGGCATGGGCTACAACTGTGCAATCTAATTTGAGGATACTAATATCTATCTGCAAACTATGTTCTAAAAAATATTTTGGTTTGTAATATTTATTTTGACATACAAAATCCCACATAGGTGAGTGTATTGACAGACCAGGTGGAGGCTCAAGGAGTAAAGATCCATGATTTGGAGAGTTCCTTGATGGAGCATCAACACAAACTCATCTGTACAGAGGAGATGCTACATCAGGTAGATGCCAAAATAACTTTGACTTATACTGATCTGTCTTGCATACACTGAAAAAAAGATGTGTTAAAGATGACTAAAATAAGAAAAGCCTGATGTTAAATATAACACTAATTTGAAAACAAAAAAAATTGTTCCATCTTCTAAGCTACAACAGGGCATGAAGATAGTCCATCTCTTTTAAACATACTAATTTCTCTGTAGTTTCCTGTGTTTCTCTGCCTCACATTTAGAAATTATTTTCTTGGATTCCAGTGACAGTGGCTTTAGGATACCTTGACTACAAAAATATTTAAGATGCTCAGACTCTTTCCTGTAGAGTTTTAGCTCTTGGTGCCTGTCTGGTTTATGCAGGGCTAAACTCACCCGTCTGGGCAGGAGATTAACTGAGCAGCAAGCCACACCCCCCAACTGGTAACAACCATGACTGCTCACATGCAGGCGTCTGGAGAGAAGGAGAGAGACGAGAAAGACAGCAGAGGGAGGGATAAGGGGAAAAAAACAAGGAAGGGAGAAACAGCTGTAAAAAGGTGGAAAAATAGTAAGGAAAAGAAGAATGCTCCTGCTGTTGAAGTTGACTGTGCTCTGTTGGCATTTAGTTGTTTGCTTCAGTCTTCAAAAAGTTTGTTAGAAGCTACTGGATGGACAGGGTGGATGAAACCTTATCCCACTTGAACTTGGAGACATTGCTTGCATGAAGGCATTACGGGTAGACACTGGATAAACCAGGTATTCGTTTTCTTTCTTATGTTGCAACTCTTGCAAAATCTCAACTTTAGCCTGAAGGGAAAACAAACAATTAATTCAAAAACTGGTTTATAACTTTGTCTCTTTTACAGAAACCTAATTTAAGTTTTCTTTTTGTTAAAGGGTCAGTTTCTTGGAGATGTGGTCGAGGCTTTGAACTTGAGCTTTAAATATTTTCCTGGTGACAGTTAAATTTTTCCATGCGCTCTCTAAAGGGGGCCAAGATCTTTTGGAGAAAAAAGCAAACATTCAAAATATTTATCTCCACTAAAGTTTCAAGCTCATTTCTGGACATTCAGCACCTGCTTGGCATGAACCAAATTAGAAATACATCTACCCCCATGGTCTGGTGTAACTGATGGCTACAAAGCCTTTGGTTATCTACAGTATCTTACCGATATGTTAAATTGTGATTTCTCAGTTTTAAAAAGGAGGTCATTCATATACGGAGGACAGGGAAATGCACCTGTCAAAGATATTTTGATAATCTGTCAATGAATGTCTTGCATGCTTTTTCTTGGTCTAACCCCCTCCCTCCTCTCTGCTATGTGCTCTGAGCGAGCTGCGAAATAGGCATTATAAATAGTGGTCATGAGTTGTGTATATTTAGCCAACCAAACAGCTTCAGAAACCACTGTGGTTTGTGTGGATAGGGCTGTCACTAGATAGGTGGTAGCTTGCTGTGCCTCACACTTCATGCTGCCTTTGTAGAGCAAACACTGTATATTGTATATAATTGAAGGGATATATGGCTGCACCTCTCTGTCTTTTTTCCCACTCATGCTGTGTGTCATTGACGACAGGAGCTCGTGCATAGGATGTCCCTCGAGAAGCAAAAGCTGAATCTTGTAGGGGAGGTTTCTAATCTGAAACTGAAGCTGGCCGACATGGAGGGAAAACAAGTGCATGCGAATGTGAGGCAAGACAAAGCAGAGGTGAGACTGAAGTAGACTGATATAAGTTTGTCATTTTCACATAAACTTAATGCCTGTATATAAAAAAAAGTTTATTTGAGCATATGTACTTAATTAGTAATTGACTTATAGCAAAGCTAATAACTACATATTTTGTACAGTGCAATGAAGGGGCTTTCTTTTTAAATTCTCTAAAGCTTGTTTTTTTTAGATGAAGGTCTTTAATAATTAGAAATGTAAACATGGCTCTGATACAAATGACATGGCTTAAAATAATAATCTGCTTATCATTCTAAAGCAATTCACTCAACTGTTGATTTTATAGAAGCCTTTAAACACTTACAGACTCACAGTGGAAAAATAAAATCACCCAAATACTGCTTTTATTATTCCTTTTATGAATTAGATTTAAAATTTTTCCAGAGTTTAACCAGCTTATGTGCTCAACATTTATGTTTTAGGATGTGTTATGTTACCGCCTGACTTCCTGAAGTCTAGAAATTGAAAGCAGAACTTTAAACAGGCAGGATACCACAGTGTAAATACTTAGTCTAAAAGCTAATTGTCAAAAGATATCTTATCCTCAGTTTAAAATAGTTCAAAAAGTGTTGTATTGTTTGATAGCCCAAATATGTGAGGGTTTTGTTATTGTGGTCTCAGGAGAGTTTTCAAAATAAATTAAATGAATATTTCCACATTTTTTATTTTTAAAATAATTGGAACGGGATTATTTTTTTAATGGAAGTTTTTGTTTTTTAAGTCCAAAATAATATTACACCAGCTATACTTTTACCACAGGCTTTGACTTAGACCAAATATACTCCTTTCATCACAATAATTGTCCTCCATGTTCTTCGCTTATTACATAAACTTGTCCTCACATATGCATGGCTGTATGTACACACAAACAAGTGTTTGGGGGGGGCTCTTGGCTCTGAAGCAAACAAGCTCATGTTTAAAATTAGATATGGAGGCCCTCCATATCATTTGTCATAACTGCTGTACTGGACCCTAAGTAAAAAATGTTCTGTCCACAGTCCAGGCAAAACCAACAGCTCTCTTTTATTAAAAATACAAAAAAATGTTTTGGACAAACAAATGTTATCTTATATTTGAATATTAGCACGTTTTCCAATATGCATGCCTTTAGATACTGCATCAGTTTTAATTGTAGCCATATAATTTTAGCTTCAGTTAAAAAACAAAAAAACAAACAAACAAAAAAAACATGTTGATTTTTTAGAATGTATAAAAGAGACAAAACAAACCAAGCAATGAAAAAAAAAAGTTCAGGGATCAGCAACCTTTACAACCCTGGGAGCCATTTTGCCTTCAGTCCAGCAAAGCAACATTTATTTAGATCCCCAAACAATAATTCACAGCAAATTAGCTTTAAAGTTTACCTAATATAATTTTATAGTATTATTATGAAGGTTAAATACATTTTCCTCAAAGGGACATTACATTTTTAATGAAATTTACAAAAAAGGCAGTAGTTTTCAACCCAATGCTCTTCGTAGAAATGTTATTTTACATAAAATACCTAGAAGACACTGCTAACGCTAGCAGTTTTCAGTTACTAAAACAAGTGAAAATTTTAGACATGTCTGAAATTTCTTTAGATTTTTTTTTTGTTTTGTTTAGAAATGAATGTAATTTAACAGCATAGACTTTTAAAAAATACAGTATGTACAAGTCCAGTAAGTTTCTCCCTTTTTCTAAATGCTATTTTTTTTTCCCTTTTCTTCTCACTCATATCTTTCAGACTGTAGTGAATTTCATTAGTGAACTGCAGGAGCAGATGTGTCAGTTTCAAAAAGAGATCAATAGCAAGATCCAGGAGAAAAAGCCCTCGGAGATCTCGACTGAAAGCAGGTTTCCAGCGGTGTGCTCTGAGTCTGCCATAAGCCGAGGCAAAAACCTCCCCACATGCTATGATGGACCCTCAGGGGGTATGCACAGGACAGATGGGGCTCCAGACAGACCTTTGGGGAGCCCAAGAGAGGGTAGCTCAGATGCAGAGCAGCCATGCCACTGTGGAGAAGAAAGAGTAGGCATAGTTCAACTGCATGGCTTCTATTGTTGGCACTAAATGGATCTTCTCAATGTGTTGTCTCAATGTTTTGTCTTCTGTAACTTTTATCTAATATTTTAAGTAGCTTTGAATTTAGCTTAATAAACAGAGCAATACCCTTCTTTTCTAGATTAATATACAATTTTAAGAATCTTTAATAATAGCATTTTATTAGTAATAACAATTGGCATCTTTATGACAGCAGCTGGATATAAAGCCTGATAAAATGCTTCCTGTTTTTAGGTTTTAATTAAAGAAGTCCGAATTCTCAAGGACAAAATACAGCATCTGGAGGACCAGAAGCTACAGTATGAAAGGAAGCTCAAGGCTACCAAGGTAAACTATCTGTTACAGATACACCATGAGCCCAAATTTTACAGTTAATTCTCCATTCCACTCTTCTGACTGTAGTCCTGTCTCATGATTTTTCCACTAAGCTAATCCCTCTGTCATGCACATTCTTATTCTCTTTTATTTACCTTTTCTCTTTGTTATGCAATATACATAGAATTAATAATTTCTTGGTGTATTTCAATTAGCATATTTCATCTCTTCACACTTGCTTTTACGATTGACTTTTTGCTCTTCATAGTTTATTTAAGTTAATTAAAATATACATTCATGTCAATTGAACATTTTACTCTTCAAATATTTTTTTCAAAATGTTATTTAATTATCACATTGGTAAAGATATTACATTTTAAACATTTTGAGACATTCTATTTTCTTTTACCAGCACTCTGTGGGATTATAGGGATTTGCTGTAGTTTTGATGTCATCAGATAGACTTGTCACAGTTCTTTTGTTAGAGAGGAACACTCCAAGATGGCTGTGCTATTAGGAAGTAAATACAGAACGAGGTTCATGAAAGAAAAAAAAAAAGTTTGAGGCTGGAGTTTGATTTATATGAACAACTAATGGGAGTTTTGAAGTTTTTATGCAACCAAAATATATCTTATTAATATAAAACCTAGTTGTCTTCTTACCAGTATCTCAGCTATATCCTACTATTTTCCTTGTTGATGCAAAGAGCTGTCTCGTTTAACTAAGCGTAAACTTAATCTCCTGTATCTTATTTTGAAACAAACTGTAAACTCTGGGATGATTTAGTTCAACATTTTGTACAGCAGAATTTGGAGGATACATTTTCTTTTTTGCTTTGTTTGGGATGTATCATAAATGAAAGAGGGGGGGAAAAAAAATAATCAAAACAGGGCTCTAAGCATTGGGACACACTAGCCTGGCCAGCTAGAATGACATGCGAGCTAACCTAGGATTTAGGATTTTAAATCCATTTATGAGCCTATGTATCATTGATAGTAAATGTTCATGATATAGATATTTTCTTTTGAATAAACCTTTGTGTAAATGGTGCTAATATTCTTTACTGTACAACCTCAGACAGAGATCAACAGCCTTCAGCAACTTCTGCTCAGTAAGAATGCAGAGATTGAGAGCTTGCATACTCAGTTGCTGGCCAGACCTCCTCTGACCACAGAAATCTCAACCAGAGGTGAGCAAACCATTCATGCACATTCAAGCCATGAGTGACATACCAGTGTAAACAAATTCATAGATAAAGAGAGTTATCCTATAAAAAAAATGCCTTGACCAAATATAAACTGTGTTTTGAGGGTATCTGTGTCTGTCCCTCTCAGAGGAGATGTACAGGAAGAGGCTATACACTGAATGTAAGACTATGCAGCACTAAATTAAAAATCCTTTGGGACCTGTCTACTTTTAATTTAATCTTCCTGCCTTTTTCCTTGGGTCCTTTTCTTAATTATACTTTTTATTTCCTTCTGCTTTAAGGGACGCCTTTGAAAATGAAAAATGTTTACAGTAAACTACTTTTTAACTCTTCTTCATTGGGTTTATATCTTGTATTAAGAATCAGTCTTTATTCATCAAATATTGTTTCTGGGCTGTTGATTGTTTAAATTTAAAGTAATTTATTGCACATGTTGATTATTGCAATTAATGCATGGAAATATATATATAAAAATCTCTCTACAGACCTAAATAGGCCAAGCTTAGTTTTCCAGTAAGCAGTTCCCAAAAACTTATTTGAGTTATGTGTAGAGATGTTAAAACTAATGAAGACGTTTTGGCCAAACATTATCATAAGAAAGTGATCTAAAACTTGCTGGCATATCCTTTCTTTTCTTATCTACTTTTTCAGTTGAAGGATCTGTATGTACAGAACATGAACAGCTGCCAAAATAGAATAATAAAAAGCTTTATTCTTTTTTTGTTACCAAGATCAAGAACTTCAAAGACTTCGAAATGGAATGAAGTCGCTGATGGCTGCCAATGATGAAAAGGTAAGAAAAGATGTGAAAGCAGTTGGTCAAAACTAAGCCATGATGGCAACACATCACATTAATGTATAAATTTATTTCAACTTTGTATGAGCAAAGACCAAATTTTTTCAAATGCCTGAAAGTAGCTGCTTTTAGACCCTGTTATTTCTTAGAGGTTCCTCCCTCTGACCATTTATAGCACAGAGGGTCTTTTGTATTCTTCCACTCAGACTATCTTGCACTTAAAGCATTTGCAGACAGACTTACATGTGGCCCACTGCTGAGAACCTGCACATGGACACACACACCCTGATACAAGTCTTTTTTAGACTAGCCACAATTAAGCAGGCTTTGCTTTGCCAAGCTTAATTTTGGAGTGAGCAGCATTAAGAGAATTTTGGTAAAATCATGACTGGCACCACTTCAAAAAACACACACTGTGCAGCTGGTTGCCATAAAATACAGTTTAAAGTGGGGCCTAGGTCTAACCCCTCTCTGTCCATTACTTTGATGTAAAGGCCATACTGTGGAAGAGTAATGTTTGGGTGTATCACACACCAGTGGTTTAAAACCAGCAGTGGGATTTCATGCTTTCAAACTTTTAACAAATATCCTAATAGGTTTATGTTGACTTACTTAAAAGCTCCCTGCTGTGTTTTCTGCAGGACAGACAGATTGAGGAGCTAAATCTACTCCTGAATCAGTGCAGACAGTTCAAAGAGGTTACTCACATCTCAAGGCAAGGTAATGGGATTATTTATTATTTTATATGAGTTACTGGGTTTCTCCCCATATGATGTATAATGTTTAATCCCTCCTTATGTTGTGGAAGGGCCATCTGCTATTCGTTCCTTGTCGAATGGTCGAACTGCTTCAAGTAGCAGCGAGGAAGGAAACCAGGTGCTGACGAGGACTGTTGACTCTGCCAGTATAAAATCTGATGATGGGAAGTCTGAAGTGAGTGAGCAAACATTAAAGAAATCCTGTTTATTTTAATGTTTGCATTAGAGCTAGTTGACTATGTCGTCCATAAATATGCTTTGTGTGATTGAATTTTTTTGAACCATGACAGGTGTCAACAAGTAGTTTGTCCTCCCAACAAACATCATTTCAGTCAGTCCAGAAAGATAATGATTCCAGGTAAATCGTTACTTTTGAAACCAGTTACTCTATTTGGGATCTTTCTGAGTACACTGTGTTTCTCTTTACAGAACAGAGCCGCAGACTTTCACAAGCAGCTTGAATGACATGACAAATGGACCTTCACCAAAGGTATCTTCTGGTATTTGTGTTGTATTTACCTTAAACTTGAAATGAAAGAAACAGGCTTCTATCATGGACAGTTTTGTTTGTGCTATACCTTTACACTCCTTGTGTGTTTAATATTTTTTATCTGTAAGTAAAAAACATGACAAGCATTACTTAATACATGAAAAGTGTCAACAAATATTTTTTGTAATTTTCATATTCTGTGGTCTATTTCTGTGTGGGCCACATTTGTCTTAAGCGGCATGTTATATTTGATAAATGTGTTATGAATTTGAATCCTGTAATTAGCTTTTGTGTCCAAATAGTTCAGCTTTAGACTGATCTGTCCAAAAAATATTTATCTGCAGAAGTCCTGGTCTATCTCAGCTTTGTGCACAATATTTATCATTGTACAGACATCTAGTGTACTTTTGAATAAACAGTGCCCTTTGACTAATTATTTTAGGTTTTGCAGCATACTCATAGGGCAAAATGTAACAGTAAAGGTGTTTAAAAGTCTGAAGTAATTTAAATTAATCAGTATTAATAAGTAATTTTCTTCCTTTTGTTCATTTTTCAAATTTGTGAATAGTTTCTCCATGGTGAAATGAGTGAAGGGAAAAGTCAGCCTCTGCCTCCGAATTCAGCAGTCCTGGAACATAATGAAAATGGAGATAAAGATACTCAAAGTCAACAAAATCCAGATCAATGTGAAGATGGAGACTCTTGCCATAGTAAGTGCATAGTAAAAAAAAAAAATCACCAGATTGTTACTTAGGATATGATAGGCTGCACTCTTTAATACGATTTGGCATAGGATCTCTGAGTGGTCTAGTAATTCCCATGAGAGCAGACAAGATTCATATTTGGAGCTATAACCACTCTCTTCTGACCAGACGACCACTGTACGCTTGATCACAGCTAATTGCAGAGGCTCCTGTCAGAGCAGAAGGATCATGGGACAGGGTTGATTACCCAACCCAACCTCTTCCTTGCATGGACTGACCACATTCAGCTCAGCTCCACCCTTCCTTTATGTGACCGACCAGTTTTAAATCCAGGCACACCCTGTTATCTTGCTGAAACATTTTCACTGAAAGACGTGATTATGAAGATCATACCTTGGAAATGACCCAAAATTGTTCATTTCTCTATTTACCCCGTCACTTGCAACCTGTACCCATCAAAACATTTTAAAATGCTAACAAACATGTTCCCCATTTATGAAATATAGAAAGAAAATCTAGCCCTAGATTCACTCATCATCAGCAAGATATTCTCAGAAACATTGCCTAAACTACAGGAAATAGATATAATCTTTACTCAGATGTCTTCAATCAAGAGCATTATTTTGGCAGTACACTGCTGAAGCTTAGTCTGCTCTGCTTCTACTCTGAGCAAAGTATTTTTTTAACAACACAAACACATCTTCAAAGGAAAAAAAAAAGTGGTATTTTTAGGAAGCAAACAATCTGCATCCTCTTTGTCCTCAGTAACTGTGGTTTTTTTCTAACCTCTTATAGAAAACTTTGAGAAAGCCCATGACTGTAAAACCAGTGAGAATTCCCCTGCTCATTGTGAGCCGCGTGTTCAGCCTGGCCAGCGAGCTATTGGATCTCCTGAATATATGAAGAACAATAGGAGCTTCAAGAGATTCTGGGGAAAGTAAGTAAAGAGACACAAAAGCAAGTAAAAAATCTTCAATCACTTTAGAAGGAAGTCCTATTATTTATTACATTTTCCATAAAATTTTTTTTTTTACTTTTTATGTGCTGATGAAGGTTCTCAGTCATCCAGGTCATAGTAATTCTGGGTGTTCACATTCTGGATAAAGAAAATAGGTGGTTTGAGAGGGGCGTGAAGGAAGCCATCTATGT